CGAGTCCCAAACAAGAGGAACCCAAAGAGGACCACACCAAGACACATCATAATTATAATGCCATAGACTAAAGACAAAGAGAGAATCTTAAAAGCAGCAAGAGAAAAGCAGTTAGTTACCTACAAGGGAATGTCCATACAACTGTCAGCTGATTTCTCAACAAAAACTATGCAGGCCAGAAGGGAGTGGCAAGAAATATTCAAAGTGATGAATAGCAAGGACCACAACCAGCAAAGCTATCATTTAGAATTGAAGATCAGATAAGGAGCTTCACAGACAAGACAAAGCTAAAGGAGTTTATCACCACAAAACCAGTATTATATGAAATGTTGAAGGGTATTCTTTAAGAAGAGGAAGAAGAAAAATATTAAAAATATGGATAACAAAATGGCAACGAATACAAACCTATCAACAATTGAATCTAAAAATCAAAATAAATAAGGCTAATGAACAGCATAAACTGGTGAATAAAATAGAATCACAGGCATGAAAATGGAACAGACTGACAACTCTTGGAGAGAAGGGGGTAGAGGGGCTGGAAGAGATTAAACAAAGTGGAGGGGAAAATATAGGGGGGAAAAAGAGGAACATCTGTAATAATCTCAACAATAAAGATTAAAAAAAAAAAGAAAAAAATTTAAAGAAATAATTCCAGCATGTAATACAACTGATATGTGATTTTATTCAGAGTCCTTAAAAAGGGACACCTATAAAGAGGAGTTCTGTTTCCTGGTTGTATAATGCTCTCATTAATAATATTTATCAACAATAAAGAAAATAAATAGGGGGGTTTGCAAAAATAAAATAAAATACATTAGTCTATATATACTATGTAGAACCGAAAAGCAAAAGAAGCCATATAGGGTGTTACTGATGGATATCCCATAAAAGATTTTGTGGTCTAACTCTGATTTCAGGTTTTAAAAATTTCCAGGAGAGCCTGGCCGGCATAGCTCAGTGGTTGAGCATCGACGTATGAACCAGGAGGTCACAGTTCCATTCCCTGCCAGGGCACATGCTCCGGGTTGAAGGCTCGATCCCAGTGTAGGGCGTGCAAGAGGCAGCTGATCAATATTTCTCTCTCATCATTGATGTTTCTATATCTCTCTCCCTCTCCCTTCCTCTCTGAAATCAATAAAAATGTATATATATATAAAAAGTTCCCGGAGATTGGTTTAAGTGTCAATGGGTAGTTCAAGGAACATTTTTAAGGTGATAGTCAACTGATTAGTTTCGATTTGTTTTAAATTCATTCTCTTTGTAAAATCACATTTGTTTGGAAACCGCAGCATGAGGGAACTTTTACATTATTAAAGAGCTAAGAATTCAATGGAGCCTCTTAAAAGATCCTTACAGTAGTGGCATGCTGTGTGGTGTGTTCTGCCTCTCCTGAAAAGAAACGTTTGTTTTATGTAGTTCTCTAAAAGTTCCTCCTGAAAATTTCATACATCTCTGGGTTTATAGGGTAAGAGGTTCTTCCACAGTGAGAAATGTTTGGTGTCTTTTCCCTTGCTCATCAAAGATGAGTGGAATTTTTAAAAATCTCCCACTGTCTCTCTTGATCTGCATGAGTCCCTGCAAGGGGCTTTAGGAAGTTTTATTCTGTCCCAAGGCTTTCGGACCTGGGGATCCGAACTTTACAAGTGCCTGGGACTTGTAAAGAGGTTGGCAAGACACTTGGTTTTTGCCACAAGTCCCCCACTCCTTCGTAGTTGACCCTGAAATGGCTCCTTAAAAAGGCTGTAAATGTACTAGACTAGAGGTCTGAAATGATGTCTTCTCTTCATATCCCTTGTGATCAGCACATGCTTGTCACAGCAGGGGCCCATGACAGACCTCATAAATAAATGGGTTTATTTATACCATGCTGACCATTCTAGGAGTTGCACACTGTGAGTATCATTAAGGATATCCACACCATATTTATCACATCTCTGTATAAACATAAATTTAATACAAGAGCAATCTGGATATCAATAGCAGTTTCATTAGAATAGTGTAAACAGCTGGAAGCCCTTGAAATTAAAAAGATAATTATATTTCCATAATTATTTTACACTGTGTAGGAGCGTAAGATAACCAGGCACAAGTGCCATATTGGTGTCACAGCAACTTTGGAGGAAGTCATAACAAATGGGAAGCTGAAATGATGGTGACCTGAAGAGATAATTTAACAGTGACTGCAGTGACTCCTGCTGGGAAGTCGATGCCAAATTCCAGACAAATATGTGAACTCTTGTCAAGCTCCATATGTTTTCTTTTTCATAAGCTTTTTTCTCTTAAAGTAATTTTACAAAATGTTTTGTATCCAAGTAAGTCTTTACAGAAATGTCTCAGTGATAGTACAGAGAATCTTCAGCTATCCTACACCCAGTTTCTCTTATTGTGAGCATCTTACATTACTATGATCCATTTGTCATACTTAGCCAAAATTGATACATTGTTATTAACTAAACTCAATATTTTACCAGATATCATTAGTTTTCCCCTAATGGTCTTTTTAATGTAATAGGATCCTATCCAATATCACATGATATTTGTCATCATTGTTCTCTTAGGTTACTCTCAACTATGACAGTTTTTCAGAGTTTTCTTGATTTTAATGAACTTGACAGTTCTGAAGAGTACTGGTCAGGTATTTTGTAGGGTATCTCCCAATTTGGATTTGTTTATCTCACAATTTGACTGGGATTACAGGTTTAGGGGAGGAAGATCACCGCGGTGAAATGTCATTTTCAACACCACCCATCCACAAAATGTACTATCAGCATCACTCATCTCTGGTGATATTAACCTTGACCACCTGGCTGAGGAAGTATTTGTCAGATTTCTTCTCTGTATAGCTATTTTTTTACTTCCCCCCTTTTTCTTAATATTCTCTTTGGAAGGAAGCCACTAAGCACAGCCCACAGTTGAAGTTTCTTCGTAAAATATCTGGAATTTATTCTCTCTGGGGGCATATTTCTCTCTCTCACTTGTTTACTTATTTAATCAATCATTTAGCTATCTCAGTATGGATTGATGGATATTTATTTTATACTTAGGGTTAAAATTCAATACTATGGTATTAGTTTTGTTGCTCAAATTGGTCCCAGTTTGGCCTTCGGAAACTTATTCAGTTGGCTCCTGTGTCTCTTTGACACACTCCCATCGTGTTATTTTTTTTCCGAACTTCTTTACTTTTGGTACAACATTGTGCTCCAGATTCATTTTCTATATGTTCTGTCCCAGCCCTAGAAATAGCCATTTCTCCAAGGATGCCTAGTTTCTTTTATTGAAGAATGTTATTAGAAGACAAGATCTGAGTCTTGGGTATGTTCATTGCTACTGGGTGTCATTGCCATATATGCAGGAGTCGGCAAAAATGGGTTTACAGCTTATGACTATGTGAAACAGAATTAATAAAACTATTGTAATAATCATAACCTGCATGTCTTTTTCCATACCTACCCCTGTATATTTGCCCATTGAAGGTCAGACATCGGGATTGTTTCAGCTTTTGGTTATTTATAAATAAAGCTGTTATAAAAATTGCATGCAGGTTTTTATGTGGGTAGACATTTTCAAACCAATTGAGCTTGGAACATAATTGCTGGGTCACATGGTAAGTCTATGTTTAGTTTGATAAGAAATCGTCGTCCAAAGTGGCTCTAGCATTTTGCATTTCTGAATAAGGATTCCTGTTGCTCTGCATTTTCACCAGCAGTTGGAATTATCAGTGTTTAGAAGATGTTAGCCATTCTAGTCAATGTGTTGTGGATTTATATTTGGGTTTATTTTTTACTCAAAGAGGTCAGTCTTAACCTCAAACAATGTACAACTAAATACAGATCTTAGACATCAGCAAATTATTGCCTACAGTTTATTTTTAAATCAAACAAAAAAGTCAACATACACAGCACACTCGTACCCACATTTCCTCCAACCACTGCCTCATCTCTGCTGCCATTTACAACTAAGCTCCTCTAAAGATGTAACTGTACAGACAGTCCTTGGGCTACGTCAGACTCGACGTATGTCATTTCATGGTTACGTCACCATCTCCCATTTATTTATAAAAAAAAAAGTTCCGTCGTTTCGACGTATGTACATATGTGCTTTTTGTTTTTCATTATTTATTTACCACAAGTAAAGGTCAGGAATTGTTATCTTTCTTTTAAATTTTTTTACTGTTTCACTTCATTACTGCTGTGTATGTGCTCCATGGGAGTGACGTAGGGGCTTATGTAGGTGGGTTCCGACTTACGGTGAAAATCGCCTTAGGTCGCACCGTAAGAACAGAACTCCCACATAACCCGAGGACATACTTTACTCACTCCTCTTCCACATTCTCATGGACCTAGTCCAGTCCACCTGGTCCCCTCTTGTCATGTTCACCAACAACATCCACCTTGACCAATCCAATGGTCACTGCTCAGTGCCTATTTGCCCAGAGGTCTACTCATTCCTCTTCATGAAAGACTTTCTTTACTTGGCTTTGGGATCTTAAACTCTGTCTTGGTTTCCACATAGCTCAACGCCCTAGTCACCAGTGAATATGTAACTTGATACAGCAAATGATTATGCCAATTCTTTGAAAAGTTAAGTAAACAGTTTCTTAAAATTCCTGAGAATTCCACTAGCTTTTGGGCTCATAAGCCTTCTACTTAGTTAGAAATATCCCAATAGGCTTTTCAAAGATTTGCTTTGAAGACTAGAAAACATAATCTTGCTCATCAGCTCATCATTTCAATATCTATCAGTCCTAATAAGGTAGGGGAAGTTTTATCCAACATTTTGCCCTGCTTTTATAAGAGACAACATCAGATAATTTGAGTAATGTACACACACAAGATTGAAATACTTTAATAATATTGCTATCCAAATTAAACAATAATTTTCATTTATTCAAATAATTTTTAAGTGTTCTAAATGATTGCTGCAGGTAATTTTTCACTGTCGTTGTTTTGGTTATTACTCAATATTCAAATGAAATGGTTAACTCCTGCGAAAGGGGTGCAGATATCCATAAAGTGATTTTCTGTAATGAGAGAGAATAAATAAATTAGAAAATGTAAATCAATATAAAGAAATTTAGTTATAGTTGAAGATATTAGAATTAACATATGATACTATAAAGATAATCAAATGTAATCAAATGTTAAGGGATAACTTAATTATTTACATGTATAGTGTATATTTTATATAAAATATATCCAATACATAATATATATTGGAGTAAATTAGAGTTATCAAGTGATTCATACACTCTAAGAATATAAGTTTATGGAATATTCCAATTAAACAACTTATATTACTCAAAAGAGATCTTTGTACCCTACAGAACTTTATCAAGTTCTTCTGGGATTTTTTTCTCTTATTCAAGATCAGCCACACACATACATGAAACTAAAATTTGTGAAACTAACTTCCCGATAGAGTTGTTTCTGTTTTTTTGACCTATCAATCATTTTTCATTTATCAGGAAAGAGAAAGAGCACAGAGGGAAAAGGAAGGACAGCTCTGATTTCCTGTCACTTCCTTACTAATTGCAACATCATTCTAAGACATTGTTTCTTCCTCTTTGAAGTCTGGATGATAATACTGGCCATACAGATCTACCCAGGAGCATGTTGAGAATCAAACAAATTCACGTTGCTAAAGTCTTCTGTAAATCATAAAACTTCAAATAAAGAATTACTGTTATGATTAACATATCAAACAACTTACTCAACAAAATCCCCCTGATTGAAATTCCATTCAATTAGGAAAAAGTAAGTTTTTAATATATTATTATTTAAACTAGACGCCCAATGCATGAAATTTGTGCAAGGGGCTCGGCCTCCGCCTTTGTGGTGGCTGCCTCTGCCTCAGCCCCCCACCGCCGTCGAGGCTTCTTCCGGAAGGTCGTCCAGAAGGTCATCCAGTCTAATTAGCATATTACGCTTTATTATTATAGATGACCCTGTCATCAATTTTTTTTAATTTTACAGAAGGGAATGAAAAGTCAGTATCTTAAGTTCTGTGTTACTGCTCTGTGTAAGCATTAAAGATCATATTTGCATTGTGTGATAAAGGTATTAGAAATACAATGAAGACTTCAGATTAGAAATACAATGTAGATTCCTCCTCCTATTTAGGGCTTTGGTGTCTATTCTGCTTGCTATTAAGTTCTTCAGCGGTGGGGATCATGCCTTATATTTATAAGCATGTTTTTATAGCAAATACAGATTTTTAAAACTCTTAATAGGAGCCCAATAAATAAATGTTTCATTTCCAAATGGAACAGAATAGAAGGAAAGAGCTGTGAAATGTCAGGAGTTTCAAGGTCAAGACTTTGTTCTGTCAATTATTAAAGTACATGACCTCGGTAAGCAACTTCACCTCCTTGGATGCTCAGTTTTGTCATCTGTTAAATTAAGGAATTGAAATACAGTCCATCCAGAACCTTCCACTTCCAATTTTCTATCAGCTTTTATTCTCATTTATTTTAGCCACTCATTTATCCTTTCTTTATGTTATATTTAGCGAGGAACACCCAGCCTTACATGACATCGTTTGTGATACTTAACCCAACAAAGTTTCTAGACCTGACATGTGCATACTTTTAGCTAGAAATATAACTGTGCTAATTTTTCTTCCTTGAGTTTCAGAAACATCCAAGTTATTATTTTAGAAATGTGATCTGTGTCTTTGGCAAGGAAATAACATTCAGGGAAAATTCAATTATTAGCCCTAGAGATTTAATAAGGAAAATCTGCCTTTTAAGTCAATAGTGTTTAAACCTTACCCCGTTGGAACTATACTGCATTCTGTTGCTTGGGATGGTGTTCCCATTCATAAAAATAACATTTGGCTTTGAAGTGAAACCAAGGATCTGAATAGTGCTATATGCCAGAGTAGTGATTCCATTGTAGCCATTTTTTATCACAGTTGCTTTCAGAGCTCTCTGTCGTTAAGGGAGAGAGGAAAAAATGTTAAACAAATAATGATAACACACAGAAATGTACAGCTTAAAGTGGTATGGAGAATTGCCGATACTTTTAAAAACTCCTTACTTTGAAAATCCCTTAAAATATACTTTCTTCATATAAATGAACTATTATGTCACAAAAAATACTGAATGTTTACACTTACATTACTGAATTTGTATTCCACATACAAGTACTCTCCCCTTTCAACAGAATCTGCAAAATAAGTATTAGCATTAGAAAATAAAGGTCAATTTTATCTTTTACTATGTTTTTTAATTTAAATTCTGATCAATTAAACTCCTATGTCCACAAGTCTTGGCTAAACCTTGTGCTTGGAATCCTCTAAATTACCTAGCAATTGCTGAGGGGGAAAAAAAGTGAATAATCAAACTTACATTTCTAATGATGGCCTTTGGAAAATGCAAAATAGGTAACCTCATCCTCTTACCTTGCCTCCCACGTTCCTCCTCATTTTCCATATTTACTTTATATGGAAAAATAGAGAGAAAGGAGCTTGGTTTTAGACATGTTTCAACACTTTAATTTAGTACAGAGGGATATAGCATAAAACTTTGTAAACCTCTGCCGAAACCGGTTTGGCTCAGTGGATGGAGCGTCAGCCTGCGGACTGAAAGGTCCCGGGTTTGATTCCGGTCAAGGGCATGTACCTGGGTTTGCGGGCACATCCCCAGTAGGAGATGTGCAGGAGGCAGCTGATCGATGTTTCTCTCTCATCGATGTTTCTAACTCTCTATCTCTCTCCCTTCCTCTCTGTAAAAAATCAATAAAATATATTAAAAAAAAAAAACACTTTGTAAACCTCCTCCTCCCACATTTATCTTTACTGTCCATACACAAACTCACTATCACAGACAGAGGTATCTATCTTTTTCCCTGGCTCGCTTTTGATTTGAATTCCTGTCCTCTAAAATTTAAAAACAATCTCAAGTGTTAGTGATTTAATCAGTGCTTCCTGAAGTGTTCACTGGGCGGGGGAGGAGGGAGGAATGAAAATGGACACAAAAGACTGCGATTTCCATGAAAATACAAGCATTGACAGCCTCTGTACACTCTCGGTTCCTACCACAGAACCAGCCATATTGCCTATACGTAAACCGAGAAGTGCATCTGTCTTTTTACCTTTACATTTCCTTTTCCACATTCTCTTTTTCTACCTTTTCACCTTCCTTATCAAAATGTTTATCCTCCTGTGTTTCCTGCTTATGAACGAGGGGCAAGGAAAGAAAGATGGCTGTAAAGTCAACTAATATGGAGACAGAAGAAATGTTCTCAGCAGTAACCTGTGCACAGGCATTATCGTCTCTTTGGAATAGTGCCCATTTCCTTAAAAACCCATTTATATTTTCAAAATGTGGCTGCTTTGAATATATTTATCACTGTATGTAGAGTACTTATCTTCTTAACAATATAAGTCATTTCTATTCTTCCAGGGAAAGTCTTTTCTATAGTTTGCTGATCTATGAGATTATAGAGAAAATGGGGATAATAAGAGAGAAATGAATAAACAAAACCATTGATATTGTGCCTTAGCCAGCTAAATCTTTTTTTAAAAATTCTCACCCAAGGACATGCTTAGAAAGGAGGAGAGAAGGAAGAAAGTCAGGGCACGTACAGAAGGCAACCAATCGATGTTTCTCACATTGATGCTTCTCTCTCTCACTCTCTCGCCTATGTGAGAATAAATTAATGAGAAAAAATTTATTGTAGCATACTAATAAGTAAATGTTGTCTCCTCTCAAGTAACCACAGTATGATTTGTTATTACCTTCTTGGAGATAATGTATAAATATAATGTATTTCACCTTCTTAATGATAATGGTTTCACCTGTGTGGATTAACCCAGAAGAGTAGCCAGATCTGAGGAAATTTTCAGGTTCCTGGACAGTAATGTGGGTGAAAGCAGAATCTTACCATGGTGTCTATTATATCAAACTTACTGTATTGGTTTAGATCTCCAATTTTTAATTTTAAGTGAAGTCATTTTGAAATTCAGAACATTCCAACTGTTGTACATGTTGGTCTACTTACCAATAGAGTCACCATCATCCCAGAAAAGGGAGCCAGATGCTTCTCCATGTTCATCTAGAGCAATTATGAGGCTAAAAGGATTCAACCGGCTGTAGAAAAGAAGAAAATTTGTATTTTCAGAGTGAGAAGGACCTAACTCCTATCATCTCATGGAACCACCTAGAAAAATGTTGAGTCTATTCTTAAACACCTTTACCAAATTTCCACTTAGTTTATGTTTGAATATCTCCAGTGATAGGAAACTTAAAACATCCTTAAGTAACTTATTTCTGCTCTGAACTGTTCAATCTGAGGGGAAATGAGTGATTTCAATAGCATAGGCCTCTTAAGTGTGTCCCACTTAAAAAAAAAAGCAAAGGCTTATATAATTAATAAAGTAATAAAATACTATAACATGCTTATTGAAGGTACACCCCTCACCCTCTGACTTGTCTACAAAATTGCGAGTCTTTGGATCTGGAAACCTGGGAGCTGATTTTAAAGTATGACCAAAGGGACTCCAGAAAAACGGAGCTTGAATAGTAATTTGGAGAGTCTACTCTGCTTGGAGTTGTATTAACTCTCAAGAGCAAGGATGCCAGAATCCATGTGCCCTCTTTTTGTGATTCCACAATGGAGACAGGACTCAAGGATTTGATCCTAATCGCTTGGTAACCCCAAAATTGCATAGAGAAAAGACTGCACAGTGCAAGTGATAAAACAATCTTACTTTTGGAGAAGTTGAGTTATAGTGAGAATACCTTAAGGGAAATACTTTGGTTTTATACACAATATACTTATTTCATTAAATTGTTTCTATTAAAGTGAAAATTAAAGAATGAGACCCTCTCTTCTTTCTTGGAAAGGAACTAAAATATATTAACTTGAAATCAAATGAATCTATTTTGCAAGTTAGTGCCTAGAAACTATAGATCTACTACATAGTTCAAGGAATCCTCAGGGACTTTTTAATATTTCAAAATGTCTAGCCAAAACTCCTTTCTGATAATGATGCATATTTTTAGATGATTTTATTTTCAATTAATGCCGATTAGAGATTTTGATCTGCTACTATGAATCTTTGATGTAAAATAGAAATATGAAATAATGATTATTACTAAAAATTCTGCTTGTTTGCTAGGCAAAGTCTTTGATTACATATCTATGGAGGGAGAAAAGGACTAATTAAACATAACCTGAATGGATAAAAGCATGAGGACCCTGACCTAGCCTTGATATAAAACCTAGGAGAGGCCGAAACCGGTTTGGCTCAGTGTATAGAGCGTCGGCCTGCGGACTGAGGGGTCCCAGGTTCGATTCTGGTCAAGGGCATGTACCTGGGTTGCGGGCACCCCTTTTCCCCCCCATTGGTCCCCTCCAGCCTCCCAAGCACTCTTTTATATGTAATTTGTTATTTATTACCAGAAAAACACTATTTTAAGGTCATTGTGATGAAGATGAGCTATTGCAGGTCAAAGACCTGACCCTCAGTGTTCTCAGGAGAGAAATGGCTGGAGTAGTCAGTAC